CGCCACGCCATGCCGCGCCCCCCACGGCCGGCTCCGCGCTGGCTGGCCGGACAGCCGGGTGACCCACAGCATCCTTCCAGGACCTTCCCTTGACCTTCCAGAGCAAATCACGGCGATTATGATAAAAGAGGGGCATAAATCAGGACGCGTGCAGATGCAGCGCAGCGGACGGCGCGCCACGCCACGCCACGCCACGCCAGGGCGCCTCGGATAATAACAGTGTTTCAGGAGGGCAGCAAGCCCCACCTCCACCGGCACGTGGCTTAAATTGGAAAAAAAGAAAAGGAAAAGGGAGGCGTGGCAAACTGCTACCTCTGTCAAACGGGAGACAACGGACTGTCGCGCGCGGTGGGCCAGCAGCGCGCGCAAGACGACTTGCAACGCAACGACAAGACACACAGACACGCAGGCGCGGATTTGGAGACTTCACCAGCCAAAGCCGAAGAGGGGGTCATAATTAATTTTTCACAGTCGTTTACGACCGGCCCGTCAGGTGGAGTGCGCCCGGCCGCGCCCGGCCGCCGCACGGTAGCTGGGCGCAAGGACGACCCGCGCCGACCCGCGCGGCCCGGCCCCGGCCGATAGCGATACCGTGCGTGATCCCCGCGTAAGCCGCACGCACACAGGGCGCCGATAACATTTCGGGGCGCAGCGAGACGGCCGGCAGGGCGGGGCGGGAGGGAAGGTCCGGCAAGCACAAGAGGGCCGGCTGTTGTTCTGCGCTGCAGGTCCTAACGACCCTGGCGGGGCGCCAGGGGGTGGTGGGTGGCGGGGCGGGGTGGAGCCGGCACCACGGCGCCCTCACCGCCTCGGTCCAGATAAGCCCCGCGGCGCCCGCGGACCCTGCCGCCGCCGCCGCCGGACATCGGAAGGGAGCCCCGAGCGCTTCTGCTGTAATTGGTGTCAATTTGCAGATGTGTCGCATCACTCACGCAGACAGACGGACAGACGGAGGGGAGCTCCCGCTGGCGGGCCGGGCGGGGCGCGCAGCGCGCAGCAGGGACCACCAGCCAATAACTTATTCAATATCGCGGCGCCCGGCCGGCCGGCCCCGCCACGTCTCCTGAGATCAGCCACGGCTCGGCTTGATGTGGCAAACCCACGGCAGGGAGGAGGGAAGCCTCCCTCCACCCACCGGGGCGCGGCGGGCCGGGGCACCCTCCGACGGAGAGAGGGGGGGGGGGGCGGCGCGCAATAAAAAAAACAAAGCTTATACGCTTTCCGATCAAGTTATTTGGCTGAGCGGGGGAGGGGCGGATAACAGGGCGTAAGCTGGATGCTCCGCGTGTGTTCTGCATGCGCGACACGCCCGCGCCGCCCTCATTGCTGTTTATCGGTGATTCAATAGCTGCTGCTGCTCCTCCCGCTGCTGCTCCTCCCGCCGCCGCTGCACCGCCGTCGCCGCGCACGCGTGGGAGACTCGCAGAGCCACGGCGCTGGAAAATTGTCGGGCGGGGACCACCACAAGCCTTGGTGCAAGATTGTGGTTATTTGCGAAGCGCAAGCCGGGGGGAGGGGAAGGGGACGGGAAGGTAAGGAAAGGGGTCGCAAGGTGCAGCAGCAGCCGTCCTCAGGTCACCGCGACTGCACCTGATGCACCATTTGCATACGAGCCTTATCAGGTGGGCCTACCGTGCGCGCCCGCCCGCCCACACGCTCAGCACTGCGCTCCGCGCGCCACGCAAAAGCACTCAAGTATAATTACCCCCCGCCCTACGGCAGCGATCCGAAGCGAGCCCGCGGGCACTGCCGGGGAGAGCAGGCGAAGGGGAGAGCGAGCGAGAGCGAGAGAGAGGGGATCCGTATACAGAGTATAAGGGAGGGCGGCCGGCGGCGCGGCCCGGCGCAGCCAGCGCGCATTAACAATGCAATATCACTCCGCCGCCGGCTAAATCGATGAATAATCTACAAGAGGAACACGCCGGGCCGGACCAGGGCACAACAAAAAGGAGGAAAAGGCGGGCGCGCGCTGGATGGCGCTTGGACCAAGATGGCGAGGCGTGGCGGGGCGTGGCGGGGCGTGGCGGGGCCTGCGCGGCCGCAGCGCGCTGCGCCTCGGGGCCCGGCCGGCCCGGCCCGGCCAATCAGACCCAGGCGCGGCCCGGCGCGCCCGGTACCATCCGGTGCGGTACCCGCCCGGGTACCCGCCGACCCTCTCCTGGCGGCGCCGCGTATGGCCGCGACTATTTCGGACAAACTCCGCCGCCGTCACATGTTTATGTTTTACTTACCACGTCCGGCGTGCTCGCGCCGTCCGTGTGGGAGGTGGAGTCCGCGTTGGAGCGCGCGGTGTCCGTGCCGTTGGTGGGCCCGCCCATCTCGGACAGGGGTTTAGACGAGTCCCGCTCGTCGATCACAAGGTCGATGGGCATCTTGCCCTTCAAACAGCTGATGTACCGGTGGCAGAAATTGTCGCAAAGCTCGTGGACCTGGAAAACAAGAAATGAGGGAGACATTAGAGACAAAATTTAAGCATCAAACCAAGGATTTCCGCCCGGACGTCAAAGGACGTAAATGGTGTAGGTACACACACTCTGCGGTTCCCACATCTTTTATAGTGCTCAGCCCCCCCCC